CTCAAGGATATTGCTCGTTTTTGGCCTCCTGGCCTAGAAGTAAATTCGATAGATTTTTACAAGTAGTATTCATTGTCACTGTTACAAATAGTCACTGTTGTACTTCACAAATTTATTTAATTATTATGTTTGGTTTATGTTTATGTTCTTGCATTACTCGTGCATCTTGTTTATTCGTTGCTGGTATAGTTATAAAATTTAGTTACCACACGCAAAGCCATATTAACAAAAAAACAGTTTTGGGCATTTGGTTGGTTTTTGAAAGTTTACCCCGGATCTTAAAATTTTACCACCCCGGATCCTCCACAAGTACCAGATTAGCAACTAACTTGCTAGATTTACGATAATAAGTTCATTAAAACCCAAACTTAACGTCTTCATCATCACGAAAGTTCACAAATGCGACATGGACAATGGACAAATGGACCAAGATGTAAGAGTAGAGCATGGACCAGTATACTTTGTCCAAAACCACCAACTTTTTCTGGTTCATTGCAAAGAATCGCTGTTTGGCAGCAATTTCTGGCTTTTGAGTGTTTGCCTTTGCAAAGCCAAATCTTTTATTTCTTTATCCGAAAGAACACTTTTAGTGGTTGAAACCATTTGAGACCATTTGTTGAACTCACGTAAAGCAGAAATGATCATTTGATAGGAACGGGAGGAAGAAACGACTGCTAAATCAGAAATCACTGAGGATCGACAGAGATTCTTTATATCGTTTCCGTTGAAAAGAACATAGATAATCCCTCACTCTTCCGATTCACATCCAACTTCGATTTTCGACAAACATCTTGGAAAGACTGAGAGGAGCCTTTGAGTTTCACCAATTGATCAAAAAGTTGGTTTCCAATCTTGATTTTTGCATGAAGTATTGGGGGAATTACCAAACTTCGAGAAACATTTAATAGATTTTCTTTTTTTGACTGCAGACCTTTTACTTTTGAAATCATCGCTTCCACCGAAGGGTCACTCCGATCAGCATATTGTTGAGAATCAATTGAATCCTTATCAGCGGATGTTTTTTTGTCAAACCTCTTGTTGCACCATAAACATCCAAAAGTCATCGCACAGGAAATACCAAAATTGGTGTTCAAGAAAGATAGATCTCCACCAAGAAAAACCATATATCCGGCTTGCACCAAAGTCTCAAAGTCTTTCCAAGTCTTTCCTTCAGCGAGTCGTAGGAATCTGAACCTTCCCAAGCTTGTAATGGAAGACAATTGCGAGACGAGCACAGTTTTTTGCAGATTGAGAATGAAATGGTTGAAATAACTCGGCCGTGTCCTTTATCGAGGGAAAAAAATCAGCCGCTTTCCTCGTTCAGCAGATCCAATCTTCTTCGCCACTTTTCAACAGCTTTCAACACAGCTTCCAATCTTACTCCTTCATTGAGAACTATTTCACATCTGACAAACTGGTCCAGAGTCTTCTTCCTCGTTCAGCAGATCCAATCTTCTTCGCCACTTTTCAACAGCTTTCAACACAGCTTCCAATCTTACTCCTTCATTGAGAACTATTTCATATCTGACAAACTGGTCCAGAGTCTTCTTGGCCTTTTCGATAGTTCGTTGTGAACCAATGGTTACCCCTTGGCTTGACTGAAGAAAATGGTTTACAGCTAATAGCCCTTTATTTGATAGATTGGCACTTTTTTTCATACCGAGCAGAGCTTCTGGAGTTGGAGGAGGCGGTGATTTGGTTGGAATATGTGAGGTTGAAGCAACAGAATCATCATCTTTTTGCTTTGCTTTTGCCACATAGACGGCGTTTTGACGATTTTGCTCGGCTCTTTTCTTTTCATTATCTTTCAGAATCCTTGCCTCCAGTGCTCCTTTCAAATGTGCTTTCCTGTCGAATTCTTTTTCTTTTTGTTGATTGTCTGCGGAACGCGATGAGCTTTCTTCTTTTGATTGCACAGGATTTGCAGGAACTTTCCCACTTCGTAATCCGTGCATGTTGTTTTGATTCGTTTGGCGTTCATGTTCCAAGTTGCCACTTCTAGGCTTTTTCGCTTCTGATGTTCGTCCCATCTGCAAATTATAACTTTTGTTTTGAAAGTGTTGAAAATACAAATGTATTAGGTTGTCCAGTTATAAATGCGCGTTTTTAAGATAACAACTCTTTATTTTAAAACCAACAGTTTAACAGCTCAATCAACAATATATTCACCATTTGTTAACAATATTTGTTTCCATCTTCCATGCAAAGAATGAATTCCCTCCGCGTAAAAATTGGCGTGTTTTGAGGCAAACAAGTCGGCTATCCATTTTTCGACCTCTTCAACTTCTTTGAACTTGTTTCCGGCCAAATGGTTTCGCATTGAGCGAAATAAATGGTAATCCGAAGGAGAAATATCCGGAGAATATGGCGGATGCGGGAGAGTTTCCCAGCCCAACTCTTCGAGTTTTTCCTGAACAATCTTTGCAACGTGTGGATGGGCGTTATCTTGAATGAACTTTATGTTTGAAGGATCAAGGCCTTTTTGTAGCAATACATTGTTCACTCGTTCCAGTTGTTGTGCATACGTTTCAAATCGGAAATAATCGGAAAGCAAAATTGTCTGTAACTAAATGATTTTCTCCTGCGATTGACATTTATAATTTTATCATCTGTCATGCCTTTGGCATAGTTTACCGAGTAATTGTCAAGGCAGTCTATATTTGTCTGTACAACTGGGTTGCCTACCCGAGATTGACAAATACTCTCAATTTCAACTTTCCTGGAATTGTAACTCTTTCTTCAAAAAAAATTGCGTTCTTCACTTTTTTTCAAGAAATTTTTTCTAGACTATACCAGATGTGCAAGTACCGCAGAACCAGAAAAAAAATTTGCATTCCAGATTCTAAAATCGGAGAAAACTAATAAAAAGTCAAAGTTTTTGGGAAATTCTTTCCGTCATGTTTAAACACATAAAAATCCTTTCGAATGATATATATATATAACACTTGATGATTTGACACAAAAGAACAATTTTACCAACATCAAAGGTGCGCGCGGGCCATGAAACCGCCTCGCACTTCTAAAAAACCTAGGTTTCAGAGCTGGCGTTTCCATTGACCAAAACACAAAATTAAAAAACAGTTCCCGACTAACTTTTTGCGTAGAATTCAGAAATTTGCTTTTTGAGCCTAGTTTATCAGCTAGATTTTTGTGAAAAAATTATTTTGACTTTTCGGCGCAGAATAGTGAAGAAATTTCATGGAAAAGTAGAATTTCACAAAAATTCAACTCAGTATTCTGAAAGAGCGTGATAAGGGCTATTGAATGACATATAACACTTTATGGTTCGATGAAATATGAAATTTCACTAACATCAAAGTCGCCGCCTTTAATTCTGAAATTTTGGATGATAGTTTTTGGATTATTTTATTTTTTCCGTTCATTTTTAGGCCTAACTTAAAATTTGTAGTGTTCGAATTTTTGATTTAAAGACGATTATTTTTGTTACCTACACTACAGGACAATGAAATATCATATTTGAAAAAAGATCGTCACTTTCGCGGGTCTGTAACTCCCGTATTTCTAAATATTAATATTACCATTGTGTAGCCCTTGAAAAGGGCTTTCAGAAAATGTATAACACTAATAGTTTAAACTCAAAGACAAGAGAGTTACAGACGCGCGAAAGTGACGATCTTTTTTCAAATATGATATTTCATTGTCCAGTACTGTATGTGCCATACACTTTTTCTTCTACAGTGTTTTCCTGTAATGCGTTTTTTAAAACGCACACTTGGGAAAAGAATACCGTACCTTTGGCAAAAAAATGACGCGAAAAAATGGGGTAGACTAATTTCCGGAAAAACTCGCCATAACTTTCTTCTCAGTGGGCCAATCTTTATGATTTCAATCTTTGGTTTCATTTTGTAGATCTCAATAAATGCAACAAAATGAAACCAAAATCATAAAGATTGGCCCACTTAGAAGAAAGTTATGGCGAGTTTTTCGGGAAATTTTCGATCGGTTACTTTATTCAAATATTGACACTTTGCGAGAAAAAAAGATTTGAAAAATTATCTCTCGTTCTTCAAAAAGTTGAAGAAAAACGAGCATCTGGCGGTAAAGAGTCTCGTGAAAAAGATGGTGAAATGAATGTTTGGTTAAAGTTTTTAGATATCGTTGAGTGATTTAATTGAAAAGACCAAGATGTCGTCACCTTACTGAAAAAGCTCCAACGTGAGGGTTTTTTAGGGCATTTTCGAAGATTGTTAAGTTTTATTCACGCATTATCATATCTCAAAAAAAACTCCGGAAATTAGCCTACCCCGAAAAAAAACACGAACTCCATTTTTTAGCTCAATGGTAAAGATATTCAATTTACTCAAAGTGTAAAGAGGATTACTCGTAGTTACTCGACCAAAAAACGTCCATTAATCAAATAAAAAAGATTACTCAGAAGATTTTACTCAAGTATTTTACTTACTCGCGAGGAACACACTCTACTTTTTCAGTGCCTCAATTCTCAATAATTGATTGAGGATAATCGCCGATCAATCTTTGATCGTAGGATAATCGTAGGATCGTAGGATAATCGCCGATCAATCTTTGTTCTTTTACATGAGAATTTCAACCAAACTATTCTCCTACATTTCTGCACACTCGCACGGTAATTGTTGTCCCGGCAACGAACTTTTAAAGGTTTATCTAATTTGGGAGAACAAAAGGGCTTCAAATTGTATTTCTAATTGTTGGCTATTTTAATTGGAAAGATTTAGAAATTTTTAAATAGATTCAAAAATTTTTATTTCAAATGAATCACTAGGCTTTTGGTCACACTTTTCCTTTGGTACACCACCCGGAAAAGCATCAATTTTTGGGCATTTCCTTTTCTCTGAAAAGTTACCCTATCGATCAGCTGTTTTCTATTTGATTTTTTTGGTTTCCTTCAAAATTCTTCTCAAATAATATCATTTCCGTCTTGTAGCATGTCTTTCAATGATCTTTATGATGAAATGAAATGGTACAAAACGATGCACAGAATACCGCAATGGATCAAGAGAATGGAGCCCGTGTTCAGCTTTTTTCAGCCGATAAATGTTCGTGATCTTTACCTCAACAATTCAAATACCGTAGTTTAAATTTTGTAGGTCAGTAGACAAGACTAACTCTAAGCTAGGTTCAGTACAAACGTGTCACACTAAATCGACTGGTTTAGTCTGACCTGGATCTGGGCTTAAAGTAAGACGACAGATTCTGACCTTGGCCAAGGCCAAACCTCACCCAGTTCTTTGGAAAATCTTTGCTTGTACTTGCAAATTCAATTCAGGACGGCCACCCGAAAACCTTGAGTTGGTCTCCAACCGATGAGGGTGAAGGAGTGCCGATATTGATTGGAATGCCGGCTTTATGGGTGATAATGGCCACTCAACATCAAATGATCACCAATCCGATTGCCTATCATCAAACGAGAAAGATTTCCGGTTTAACTCAATATCTCATCCAATCAAAGCAGCTATCCGCATTTTATCTCCGTTCTCCAAAAGTTTCCTTTCAACTTTATCGAGTCAAGTTGATCATCACTGTCAATGAACTCCAGAAATCGATTTTCTTAAGCCTATCGGATTATTTTATTCCCTTAGCTCTAGAAGATAATCCATTTCTTTGTCTAACCCAGAAATGTTGCTTTACAAACTTTTTATGCAACAAGTTCCGCTATCGAGTGAGTGTGGCATTTTTGAAGGATTTTCAAGCACCCGGGTTTGGATGGGATTCAATGGAAAGAGTTTCTCATGAGGAATTTCGCGAAAATCTCCGACAAAGGCTTTTGTTTCAATGGGGGAATTATATTTCAGAGAATGGATGTGAGACGAATAAATCAGGTTTGTTCTTGATGTTGGCTTTCTCATTAGCCGTGCATTAGATAAGGGTTGATAAGTCGAACAGCGTTTTAAAGTTGTGCAAATTCGGTTTAGTCACTCAATAGGTAAAATTTAAAACTAATTCAAATAGGTTCAGGTTTATGGGATCTCCGGAGTTTGTTGATGATCTTCTATGATTGGGAAAAGGCTTGTGTTGATGGGAGTCACTTTATGGCGCCCACAGAATTCGCACACCGAATCACGAAGAATGAGGTGGATGAAAAAGAATTGTATAAAGATTGGCAATGTATTCCTGAGAATCCTGAGAATGCCGGATTGTCACAAGTCACAATTATAGTGCCGCACTTCAGAGGGTCTAGCATTGGTGAAAATTGGGTGAATCGTTCTGATTTTTCTGGAGAAAAATCTTAATTGTCTTTTGGAACGATGCACATTATCTAACCGATTGAAGCTTTCAAATTTTTTAGCTGGCTTTCCCAAGGTTGAGAGCCGGGTGTCGCTCGCTACTCGTTTATGGGATTTTTGTCTTGTCGATCTTGTAAAAAACTCATTGAGGTTTTATATAGCCTTCCAAAGTTGAGAGCCAAGTGTCGTTTGGCTTACTATTACTATTACGCATTTTCGGGATTTTAATAGTTTCATTTGTTTGCTAGAAAGTCTTTAAGATTGTAATGATTTTTAATTAATCATATTCAATTATGAAATGAAAGCGATAGACCTTGAAAAAAATAAGATCATGTTAAGGTTTAATTTTTCATGCTAATGAACGAAATTCCACATTCTCTATTCAGTTTAAATGAAACAATTCAAGAGAAATATCACCAAGACTCACGTAATATGATCTATTTTCACTTTAATGATCAATTGGGCATTGAGGGAAGCCACTAAAGAACAAGAAAATCTTATTTTTCCCAAGGTCTATCGCTTCCATTTCATAATTAAATGTGATTAATTGAAAATCATTTAAATCTTAAAGACTTTTTGACAAGAAAATGAAACTTTTAAAATCCCAAAAAATGCGGAATAGTAATAGTAAGCCAAACGACACTCGGCTCTCAACTTTGGAAGGCCATCTAAAAAGTTGAAAGCTTGAATCGATTAGATAATAGGCAACGTTCTTAAGATTTATCTTTTTTATTTAGGAGACATATTAGGTTGTCCCATAAAAAATTGCCGTTTTTTCATTTGATTCGTATTCAGCGACAAGTTAGCACTTTTTCTTTCTCTTTTTTTTATTATGCTAATTTACAATTCTAGTTTTATGTGCTAAATTCTCTTTTTTAGGAATCAAAAACAAAAAAAGTTGTGATCGATCACATGGCGCTGTCTCGTAAAGAAATCCATCAATAATCCATCAACGATATTTGAAGAGGATTTCCGCGGCCAAAGCAGCGAGAGAAATCAATTCTTTTATGGGCCAACAATCGTCAAGGAAAGGAATACACAATGGTGGTTTCAGAAGTTCCAAAAAGGTGACAACCGGCTCACACGAAAGCGAGGAAGCGGTCGTCCCAGAAAAGTGAATCGACAGACGTTGAAGCGCCGACTTCGGTAAAATCCCGAAGGATCGACTCGGATTTTGGCACAAGACTATTGCAGAAGAATCACAGTATGGTGTTGGCTCAAAAAAACCGGAAGAAAGTGGTTGAAACAGCGGCAAATTCCCTATCATTTGAAAAATTCGATTAAGGGCCAAAGAGCGCGGTCATGCCGTCAATTACTGAACGAGTATCGATGCGGTCGATTTCCTCTTTTCAATGATCAATCGTGGATATTCTATGATTGTCGAGTGTTGAAACGACAATGGTTGAGGAAAGGTCGATTGGGAAAAGTGGTGGAAAAACGAAATACTCATGGGAATAAGCGATTTCTGTGTGTCGATAGGTGTTCCTCTGGCATACTTTTTTTGGGAGCTGTTCCAGAAGGGTCAAACTTTTCACAGTGATGTTTATAGACGTCATATGCAACAAGTTGAGCAGAAAATTCTTCGATTGGTCTATCAGAATGAATGGAATGGTTCCGTTTTTGTGCTTGAAGACAACGCCCATCCCCACAAATCGAGGAAATCGAAGGATTTTATGGAAAACAATTTGCACTGGAATGTACTTTCATATGCCGCTTATAGCCCTTCATCTGATTACTATTTATTTTTGTCGCTAAAGGATTTCTTTCAAGGCAAGCAATTCAACAACCAAGGTGACCTCAAGGACGAATTGGAGGGTCACTTTCTTTTACGCCGACCCGCTTTTTACAAGTGTGGACTTGCAAAGTTACCAAAACGTTGGTTAAATGTCTATAATGATCAAGGAAAATATATTGTTTGATCTACGTTGTTACTTTTTATTTTGTGTTGAAAATAAAACTTTTTGAAAAACGGCAATTTTTTATGGGACAACCTATTACTTAAGATTTATCAGAAAAGATAGAAAAATCAGAACGATTCACCCAATTTTCACCAAAGCTAGACCCTCTGAAGTGCGACGCTATAATTGTGGGCCACCCGGTGGATTTTAAAAATCTCACTCTAGATTAGAGATCTCACTCCACCATAAGCTTCACTTCCAGGTTTTCCCCGGTCGATCCCCTCCAAGCATTCCCCGTCTGAAATGGCAACTCGTTTACAATAAACTCCACGACGGTCCCCTCATCGGTTGTCCGGGTCTTTTCTTCTCCACCACTTTATTTCAAAAGGGTTTGGGCAACAAGAGTCCGTTTCCAATTGGCGGCAAATCCAATGCAGGATATCATCGGGTTACAATACCATTAAAGTTCTTGGAGAACAATCAAATGTGGTATCAAAGGAACCCCAGTCCTCGATGGAAGGGAAACCGTCGGAAGAACTCTTTTCAATACCAAGTCTTGCTCATTCTCGCCGATGAGAAAGACGCTCAACACTTTCAAAATTTACCTAAATATTACGAGCCCTTCAATTTCCGATTACCAAATCCATTCTTGTATCTGAGAAATGAAAAATGGTGGGCAAACAATCAAAACTCGATTCGGATTGATGAATTGGAGATAAGGTATACAGTGAGTTTGGTGTTGTTGAAGGATTTCGAGTGGATTGATGGGTGTGAATGGAAAGGGGATGTGAGGAAATTGAATGATTGTACAGCGATGAATATCGATGATAATATTGGGGCAAGAGATGAGCTGGCGATGATGGTTTTGAGGCAATGGGGAGGGTATTTGAAGAGCGGTGGGGATGGGGTAAAGTGAGGAGATCGATTATGGATGTCAGTAACAAGTAATAGAGATATTTGTATGGATTAGGATTTCATTGTCAGCGGGGAAAGATTGAAGATTGGTCCATTGTGCCCTCGTACAATTGTACCTTTGTACCATTGGACAGCTACACGTTCATTCAACTAAATCGCTGAGTTTCCTACAATTGCTACAAAAACATTGAATCAGCATTTTCATTGAGAAATAAATTTTCTTTTTCATCGAAATCTAATAAAAGCGAACAAAGAGTGAAATCAAATCTAAAATATTTAAAATAATTTCAATTTGAGCATTGATTTGTGGTCATTGCAGGCATTTATTGTTATTAAAGAACTGAACAAATAGATTTTTGGATCCAATTTTGACCTAACTAAACATTATTAACATTCAGCTAATGCAAGGAACGTTAAACGTTAAATACTTTGAGTAATAGAATGCAAGTTGAACTAAACTTTACCAATACTCGAAAACTTTAATGAACCCGGAAACAAAACTGACTCTTCCTGGTATAACTGGGCTCAAAGAAACAAAATTTCCCGATTTCAAAAGCTATCTAAATTCAATAGGAAATAGGAAGTGTGTTCCACAAAGAATAGACGTTTTGAATGAAAATATCAGAGTTGGCAATAAATGAATTGAGATCCGATCAGAATCTCTTTTTATTAAATACCGTTTCTTAGTGAATTTTCTCTAATAGTAGTGCACCCCGGCGAGCCGAGTTGGTGACTAGTTTACACTTTCCAATCTTTTGCAGAAGCTCAACACTCGAATCCCCCACTAGAGCTCATCGTCAGCTACATTTTCCGACCCCACATCGATAGGTTCTGATAGGCGGTTCTCGAGATTTAAATAATAGATTCAAAATAAGTCTTAATTCAGCCATCGATTTGCTTTCTCGATAATAAACTTTCGATACGGTTCGACTAGGAAACAAGTTAATATAGAAGTTGCATCAGTGTTGGCAAAGAAGATTGAAAAATTGACCATTGGTTGTGGGAGAATTGTGGACGTCAAAACAAGGTAAAGGAAGAAAAGAAGAGGACCGGTCACTGATAAAAGTCTCTTTTGTCTCGTTTTTGAGGTTTGCATACTGAGGAAATAGCTGAATAATGAAATTGATGTTACTTTAAAGATTTGAGCTATGCTCATCAACAAGCTTTGCTAAAGTTCTACAGGTTATTTTGCTGTTGTTATTTTTCAAACCTCTAACAATATTGGTCATCCACTTCCGTTCGGTGGATGCTCAAATAAAAGAATCGAGATGAAAACGATGAATAAGACTGAGAGAAGTGGGATCGTTGTCTGGAAGGAATCATATTCTATATTGCTTTTAAGGGACGGCGCGCTTTCTAAAGCGTTGATGCGCTACCGTACCCCGCAGAAAAATTCGTTTTTGCCATTCTTTTCATTTTTCCGCATTTCATGATGGAATCTTTATCCAGCTTTTATGCCGAGTGCCGCTAAGTTTTCTTCCCCCTTCGTGAAATTTTTTATATTTTTGTAGTGCGCTTTTAAAGTACTCTCTCTTTCCCCTCGTTCGTTCCCTCTCTTTTATATTATTTGCCCATAGTTTGTCGTTTAAATTTCTAATACGGTTTTATTTCGTTTTCTTTTTGACTCCTTCCAATCCATTGTTCTGAATCCGTTCACACTTGCCGTATAAACTCAACTTAACCAATTTCTTTTAACTAAAACGCAAATCTAAATAATCTGCCGCGGCGCGAGCTTGTTATTTCGTCTTGAGTTTCGTGTGAAATCATTTTAGAAAAGGATTGTAACGTCTAAATGTGTTAGGTAAGGGAATTAGTTACTAACTTGGACAAACAGCAGAGTTTATTCATCTCAACATTTCTTTACTTCTTCATTTTTACAATATTTTATCTGCCAGGAATTGCAGTTTGTTCCTTTGCCAATTTGCTTGTTTTTATCTTCTTTTAATCGTCAAACATTTCAGTTATCAATCAAGAATGCTCACCTCGACTCAACAAATCTTCAAGTCTTTCAATTGTCCCAAATGTGACACGCCATGTGAGTTGATTTTGAACCAATTAAGTAGGCTAACTCAATTCGAACCATTTCTAGAGTATTTTCAACAGATTTCAAGTAGTACTACAGCGCTTCTGCTCGCTTTCCAGGTATAATCGGCTTTGAGATAGTGTTTGGTGGCTAAAGTACGTCAGACTAGGCAAATTATCGGCTAGAATCATCAAAAGCCCTTGAAGCTGGTGCATTTAAACGAGCCTGCCAGGAATATCCCAAGAATGATCCAAACCCAAAACTTTAAAGCCAGCTCAGGTCAGGCCAAAATTTGCCAAATACAGTTTGTACTTTAAAACTTTTGAAATACACAAAATGGGATGTAATTGCTTCTTAAAAATGATATAAGTTTCTCTCATGTAATTGCATTTTTTAGACTCGAAAACGGCAGGCGCAGAGAATACACCAACGAGCACTATTTGCCCTAATAAACAAGAAATTTGTATGGGATGCTACAAAAAGCAAAGAAAAACCTATCAAGGATATGGAATCTATGAACGCGTTTTGTTGTCTTTGGGGCCAACTCCAGTGCTCGCTGGAGTCGATCGGCCGGTCGCGCATCAATGCGGTGCAAAGAGTTGTTTTGATCGTGAGCCAACTCCATCGTATTACTTAATGGGTTAGATTTTTTAAACAGTAAAAATCAATGAATCCTTCTTTAAGAGCTGCTCTCAAGTGGGGCTTTCAAATTGGATCGGCAAGGGAAAGGATATGTGCAAACAACCCAATCAATCACAATTCCGGAGTGTCCGGTTTGTAAAGAAGAATGTGGGTGATGCTTGGTTTTAAGAAAGCAATACAAGTTTAGATTCGTTGAGAGGCACCAAGAATGAGCCATGGAGGCTCGCTTGTGGACATGCTGTGTGTAATGGATGTTTTACCCAGGCCCGTTTGAGCGACGATTCCACCTTCAAGTACGATTACAACTGCCCACTGTGCCAAGAGTACAGTTGTTATTCCAAGACATCGTCGGAAAATCAACTTAAAAGTTCGTTTTGGAAGGTGACAACTATTAGTAATATTAACTTAGCCTTTCTGCGAGAACTTGACGAAAGATCGACGCAAAAAGAAGCTGAAATGAAAAGCATTTGTGAAGATTGTAGAACAGAGGTTATATTGAGATTCTGGTTGAAGAAAAGATTCTTTAGGCGTCTCTCCTCGAAATGTTCCAATGCATGGATTGTGGGGATAAAATGGTATATGACTTTTGATTAAATCAAAAACGAGATCACTGCAGTTATGCCCTCGATGTTCTTGCAAGAATCATCGTCTTCATCAGATTATCGATCTTGAAGTTGTGGAGGTTGGCATAATTTAAGAGCTTCCTGGAGTCAATTGTACTAGCGTTTCAGGTGAAGAGACTGGGGAAAGTGACTCGCGAAACGATCATTCCACAAATTGAGGCCTACAATGTCTGTTTCCCGGAACTCCAATCGTGTTTGACCAAGAATTTCAATGAGTGCCAAAAGGTAAAAAATTTGATTAGAAGAAGTTGATGAGCCTGTGTTTTCAGAAAATTCTCAGTCGAACCGATCAACTCTGTTACCTCAATGGATTTGCAAAAGCAAAGGAGCAACAGGAGGCTTGCCTGTGAGTTTTAAACGATCAAATTAATCAAAAAAGAATTGCACGTAAAACAAGAACTTTTGATTACTGCAACTTTCCGAGAGTCTGTCAAGCTAGAGGTTCCACCCCGCACAACGGGTACGACGAACTGTAAAAATTAAAGTCATAGTACTCAAGAATCCAAATAATAACTTTTTTAAGTTGCTACCCAGTCAGCATAAAAAGCATTCTTTCATGGAAACCCTTCTCCTGGAAAAAAAGTTATTTCAATGAACTTTTACACCGTATAATCTGGAGAGATTATACGGTGTACTCCAGGCAGCCTCTCCCTCTCCTTCATTTGCCAATTTGCTGTAAGAACTTAATGCTCTGTAGAAGTTTCTTGTCAACGTATCGAAGTAGCAAATAGCGAAATAGTCTCTCCAGATGATGCTGCGTAAAAGTTCATTGAAATACGTTTTTACAGTAAAAGGATTTCTATGAAAGAATGTTTTTTATGCTAGCTGGATAGCAACTTAAAAAAGTTATGGTCCCGGGCCAGGCACAGGCTAGTGGAACAACGCCATAATGCTAGCTATGTTCTCCCACTGTTAACAGGAAATATCCCAAAAGCTTTTTCTATTCTTATTGTTCATTTTGAGGGCATTTGGCGAGAGATTCGAGACGATTTGCGAGAAATATTTGGGTGAATTGCGGTCATTCAACACCGGTATTGAGGTGAGTGCATTTGACAGGGGAAATTGGATTTAAAATTGAGTAAATCAGATCCATGTAACACTCAATTTCTATTCAAAACTCTCAACCTGTTGCTTTCATATAAATTCGAAAATGGTCAAAGTGGCAAAACTAAACGATTCAGAAGCTCATCGATGACATCAACGAGTTGCCAAAATGAAATGAAAATCTTTGAACTTTCTCTATTTTAGCATTTTTCACTCTTACTCAAGCTTGGGGAATGCACACTCAGTTTCATTTATTTATTTTATTTGTTTTTAGTGTTTAGAACTTGATCACTTTCGCAATGCGCAAGATAAGCAATCAACATTTCTCTCAACTATCATTTCGTGGTGTGTTATTGCCAAGTTTTCCTCTGTTATTATCTTAATTTCTTGCTGATTTTCATAAATTCATTAATTGCAAGGAATAAAAATTTTCACGAACGAGTTGTGCTGTAGTTTGAAACAATATCACAATTTGGCAATCAATCAAAGATTGGCCAAGAAAGCCAACAGTAAACCAAAAGCGCCAACGGTAAAATGGCTATTTATTTTTGGAAAACGGACAATGGGTACTAAGTTTTTGAATATTTCCAAATTTCCTCTATTCTAAAACATTTATGATTTGGATTAATCACGAGGAAGTGAGCACAAATCAACGACCCTTCAAATGTATAACGATACCAGTAAACCAGGTTAAAGTTTGGGTAACTAGACCTAGTGTACTGAAGCATAAAAGACGCTAATCAGAATATATCATCTGGTTGAGTGCCTTTGTTTGTTTTCACGGTACAGCCTCGACATTCATCGTCATATTTTTGTATGACAGCTATCGGGTTTACTTCTTTAGGATACTCAAGCGTTTCTTTTGGAAACAGGTAATGAATGGGTATAAAAAATGTATACAAATCTTGGAGATATCTAAAATTTATAGCTTTTAAGCCAGGGCCAGGCTAGGCTAGAATCAAGGTAAACTCGCTTCGGGATTAGGCCAGGCTAAATCAGACTTACGAGTAGATGAACTCCAAGTCAAGGCCACACCCTGTGATTTTAGATTAGGTCTATCTTGAAATCAGCTATGACTTACGACTTAGGATTAGACTTGAGCAATAATAGTGATCCAGAATCACTATGTGACATTGAAACTGACCAGTATTCTTTCAGTCATCCACCACATCGGACCCGATCTCAATTGTGAACATATCTATCACGAGCGATCGACAAAAACCCTTCGACTTTGTGAGATTCGAATCAAAGCCATGAAATATTAGTTGAAAGAGTGCCGAATATTGAAATTTATCAACAAAACCACAAAATTCCATCAGTTTTCTGTCTAGAACAGAAAGCCATTACTTTTTCTGTAAATATTTTGAATGTTTCCATTTATTTATGACACTCCAATTACCCGGTATCAAAATGCAAATACAGACAGGCAAGATCATCGAGTTTTTTTGAATAATTTCTAGATCTATTTCACAGTCTTTGTTGACTATCAAAAAGTATTTAAGCAACACCGAAAAAGAACCGAATTTGAACTCTTTACTCTTTTTCTATTCATTTTTTACTTTCAATTGATTACAACAGTTCCAATTTAGAAAGAAGACATTGAAATGTTTGGTTTGCTTATTGGTGCCATTGTTGGCGTGTTCCCCGGCATTCAGTGTCAACTAGTCGAACTAGTTCTTAACAAGTTCTAATCAAGGTTAACAGTTAACAAGTGAACTCTGATGGATTTTACGAGTTTGAGTGATAAATATGAGCTTGACTTGTGAGCAAATTGCTCATCTAACAGGGTCAAGTTTGAATTTAAACTTTAGCTAGCAAAATGAAATTGCTTTTATTGAATCAGTTCTACTTACATAGAAAATGTTTAGCCTTGATAATTGAATGCTTTTCACTCTAACAGTTCTTTTTGCATTTCAGAAAATGATTTGACTCTCGTCTCGTGAGAAGTCCCATATCAATCTTGTAAAAAATGCTGCACATATCTTTTATCCTCTTTGAAATTTTGATTGACGATATTTTTCTTCAGTGAATCTATTTTTAAATAAAATTTTGATATTTTAATATCAATAATGATCAATAATACCAAGCGGTTAGGTCGATTGTTACCTGAAAATGAAATTTTATACACTAATCATCACTAACACTTACATCTTTTACTTTGAGATTTTGATTTGTGTTGATTTTATTCAAAATGAATCTATTTCTACATCAAGTTTTGATATTTTAAGATAATCGATCAATAGTGACATGCAATTTGGCCGACAGTCACCTGAGAATGAAGTTCTATACAGTAATTAGCAGCTACACTTACATCTTGATACTACCAAACGGAACCGGATGTGGTCACCGAAAAACGGAAGAAATGAGTGGAAACGGAATGTAACTGAAATTGAAATTTGACCTATTGAACTGAAAAGTTAAGTTTCCACAACGACCGGTCAATGTGTACAGATAGGTGCCAGCTGGGGCTTCTTGTACACTGATCGCGAATGCGACCTGGGAAAGATCGCAACAAAAAAGGCTCGACTCGTTGCCGGTTGCGTTGGAGCTGATGGCCCGGAGCACATGAAAGTAGCTGTTAGACAACCATTAATGTCTGTTCTAAAAAAGATAAGGTAATATCAAAAAATTTATTATTCTAGCATCAAGAGATACATATCACGTCATCTGGACCACCCCCAACTACGTAGTTTCTTAATCCTCTTTAATCTTGATGAAAATTTTTGTTCTTTTTATGATTTTGCATGTCAAATAACGTATAAAAACCGACAATTTGTTCTTGATTACCGACGCAACAATTTTAAAATTCAAAAAGATAGGTAAAGAACCGTATCACATCACCTTATCACATCACCACCGTCTAAAACAGAAACTGACTGAAAAATTCTCTTGAAAACTTGAATGACATGATGACTTGGAAAATTCTAAAGATCAACTTCTGAATGAAAACTGGATCAAGAGAATTCCTGGTAACTTGAATTGCGGCCTTCAATTCACTAACTCAGAAGCTAATTGTCGACGATTTTCGTAAACTTCGCGTACCAAGACATCCCACAAATTCTCGATCGAGTTGGCCATTCCATCACATTGACGCCATTCACTGCCATCCATTGTTTCGTAAAGTTGCTAGAATGAATGAACGCATTGTCCTGTTGAAATTGAAAGGCTCTTTGAGGGTTTTGTTTCATAAATGGAGGCAAACTTGAATTCAAAACATAGCTGTAGCCTTAGCTGTTCTCTCGGTTGAAGACAAAGCGCAAATCGACCAACCCATCGGCACAGAAAGCTGCCCAGCACATGACATTTTCTCTTCGAAAATTTCTTTTGCTAAAAAAGATTGAATCTATTTTTAAATCTCGCCAATAATGAGTGTAACCGTCGCGTCGATTGAGATTCCATTTCTTCTCGTCGCTCAACTTTAACAGTTAACTTTGGACCAAGCTTTTGCCATTAGTGCAAATGCCAATCTAGCATCCATATGCTCCTTGTTGCTTCATCAACTTCTCCTGGGTGATCCGCAATGATCTGGGCCATCAACTCCAACCCAACCGGTAAGTCCTTAATCGAGCTTTCTTTGTCCCAACCTTTCCCAGGTCACATTCACGATCAACGGCTGGCACCTATCTCTACAAATTGACCGGTCATAGTGGAAACTTAACTTTTCAGTTCAATAAGCCCAATTTCAATTTCAGTTACATTCCGATTCCACTTATTTCTTCCGTTTTTCGGTGAGTAACCATTTTCCCTTTCCCAAGATTTACCATTGGCGCTTTTGGTAGAACACTTGACCAATCTGATTGATTGCCAAATTGTCATATTGTTTCGAACTACAGCACAACTTGTTCTTTGCAATTAATGAATTTACGAAAGTCAGCACGAAATCAAGATAATACTAGAGGAAAACTTGGCAATAACACACAACGAAATGATAGTTGAGAGAAATTTTGATTGCTTAAAGAAGTACACCGGATAGCTATCATACAAAAGTATGAAGATAAATGTCGAGGCTGTACCGTGATTCGAAGATTCGTTGATTTGTGCTCACTTTCTCGTGATTAATCCAAATCATAAATGTTTTAGAATAGAGGAGATTTGAAATAATCAAAAATTTAGTAGCCATTGTCCCTTTCCAAAAATAACTAGCCATTTTACCGTTGGCGCTTTTGGTTTACTGTTGGCTTTCTTGGCCAATCTTTGATTGATTGCCAAATTGTCATATTGTTTCAAACTACAGCACAACTTGTTCTTTGCAAATTTTTATTCTTTGCAATTAATGAATTTACGAAAGTCAGCAAGAAATCAAGATAATACTAGAGGAAAACTTGGCAATAACACACAACGAAATGATAGTTGAGAGAAATTTTGATTGCTTATCTTGCGAATTGCGAAAGTGAACAAGTTCTAGACTAAAACAAAAATAAATAAATGAAACTGAATTTGCATTGACAAAACTTGAGTAAGAGTGAAAAATGCTAGAATAGAGAAAGTTCAAAGCTTTTCATTTCATTTTGGCGACTCATCGATGTCATCGATGAGCTTCTGAATCGTTTAGTTTTGCCACTTTGACCATTTTCGAATTCAGATTATATGAAAACAACAGGTTGAGAGTTTTGAATAGAAATTACAGAAATTCAAATCCATTTACTCAATTTTTGAATCCGATTTCCTATGTCAAATGCACTCACCTCAATACCGGTGTTGAATGACCGCAATTCCCCCAAGTATTTCTCGCAAATCGTCTCGAATCTCTTGCCAAATGCCCTCAAAATGAACAATAAGAATAGAAAAAGCTTTTGGGATATTTCCTGTTACCAGTGGGAGAACACAGCTAGCATTATGTTCCACTAGCTTTGTGCCTGGCCCGGGGCACATCGAGTACAAAATTAAAATAGTAGAACGCAGAAATCCAAACAATGACTTTTTTAAGTTGCTACCCAGCTAGCATAAAAAACATTCTTTAATAGAAATCCTTCTACTGGAAAAAAAAAGTTATTTCAATGAACCTTTACACAGCATAATCTGGAGAGACCGCAGATTCGTTTTCTCCACATTTCTTTTTCTCCAGTAGAAGGATTTCTATGAAAGAATGCTTTTTATGCTAGCTGGGTAGCAACTTAAAAAAGCTATTGTTTGGATTTTTGAGTACTACGATTTTAATTTTGACATTTCGTTGTACCGGTTGTGCGGAGTGGGATCTCTAGCTTAACACACTCTCGGAAAAAGTCACAGTAATCAAAAGTTCTTGTTTTATGTGCCATTCTTCTTTGATTAATTTGACCCTTTAAAACTCACATGCAAGCCTCCTGTTGCTCCTTTGCTTTTGCAAATCCATTGAGGTAACCGAGTTGATCGGTTCGACTGAGAATTTTCTGAAAACAAAGGCTCATCAACTTCTTCTAATCAAAGTTTTCACCTTTTGGCACTCATTGGAATTCTTTATCAAATTCGATTGGAGTGCTGGGAAACAGACATTGTAGGCCTCAATTTGTGGAATGATCGTTTCGCGAGTCACTTTCCCCAGTTTCTTCACCTGAAACGCTAGTACAATTTACTCCAGGAAGCTCTTAAATTATGCCAACTTCAACAACTTCAAGATCGATAATCTGATGAAGACGATGATTCTTGCAAGAACATCGAGGGCATAACTGCAGTGATTTCTCTTTTGATTTAATCAAAATACATTTACCATTTTATCCCCACAATCCATGCATTGGAACATTTCGAGGAGAGACACCTAAAGAGTCTTTTCTTCAACCAGAATCTCAATCAAACCTCTTTTCTACAATCTTCACAAATCCTTTTCATTTCATCTTCTTTTTGCGTCGATTTTTCTTCAAGTTCTCGCAGAAAGGCTAAATTGTTTGCTGTTTTCGTATTAATATTACTAATAGTTATCACTTTCCAAAACCAACTTTTAAGTGGATTTTCCCACGATGTCTTGGAATAATTACTATTGGCTTGGCACAGTGGGCATTTGTAACCGTGCTTGAAGATGGGATGGGAGGTCAAACCGGCCCTTTGAGTAAAACATCCATTACACACGGTATCTCCACAATAGAGACTGAATGGCTCATTTTTGGCGTCTCTCAACGAATCTAAACTCATATTGCTTTCTTAGAACCAAGCATCACCCACATTCTTTTTTACAAACCGGACATTCCGGAATTGTGATTGATTGGGTTGTTTGCACATATCCTTTCCCTTGCTGATCCAATTTGAAAGCCCCACTTGAGAGCAGCTCTTAAAGAAGGTTTCATAGATTTTTACAGTTTAAAAAATCTTACCCATTAAGTAATACGATGGAATTGGCTCCGAAGAAAAACAACCCCATTGATGCTTTAATATAGCTTCGCAATGATGCACTCGATCTTTTGCATAGAGTTTTCTTTGCTTTTTGTAGCATCCCATACAAATTTCTTGAATAGCAGGGCAAATAGTCTGCGTTGGTGTATTCTCTGCGCCTGCCGTTTTCGAGTCTAAAAAATGTAATTGCATGACAGAAACTTATATCATTTTTAATAAGTATTAAATCCCATTTTGTGTACTTCAAAAGTTTTAAAGTGTAAACTGTATTTGGCAAATTTTGGGCTGACCTGAGCTGGCTTAGGCTTTAAAGCTAAGTTAGCGTTTTGGATTTGGAGCATTCTTGGGATATTCTTGGCCGGACCGTTCAAATGCAGCAGCTTCAAGGGCTTTCGATGATTCTAGCCGATAATCTGCCTAGTCTGACGTACTTTAGCCACCAAACACTATCTCAAAGCCAATTATACTTGAAAAGCAAGCAGAAGCGCTGTAGTACTACTTGAAATATGTTAAAAATACTCTAGAAATCGTTCAAATTGAGTTAGCCTAATTAATCCGGTTCAAAATCAACTCACATGGTTTGTTACATTTGGGACAATTGAAAGACTTGAAGATTTGTTGAGTCGAGGCGAGCATTCTTGATTGATAACTGAAATGTTTGACGATTAAAATAAAATAAAAACAAGCAAATTGGCAATGAAACATTCCTGGCAGATAAAATATTGCAAAAATGAAGAAGCAAAGAAATGCCGAGATGAATAAATTTTGCTGTTTGTCCAAGTTAGTAACTAACTCCCTTACCTAACACATTTAGACGTTACAATCCTTTTCTAAAATGATTTCACACGAAACCCAAGACGAAATAACAAGCTCGCGCCGTGGCAGATTATTTAGATTTGCGATTTAGTTAAAAGGAATTGGTTAATTTGAGTTTATACGGAATGTGTGAACGGATTCAGAACAATGGAGTGGATCCAGCCAAAAAGAAAACGAAATAAAATCGTAGTACCTTAAAAACGCGCTACAAAAACAATAAATTCTACGAAGGAAGAAGAAAACTTAGCGGCACGCGGAGTAAAAGCTGGATCAAGGTTCCGTCATGAAATGCGGAAAAATGAAAAGAATGGCAAAAGCGAATTTTTGTGAGGGGTACGGTAGCGCATCCACGCTTTAGAAAGCGCGTCGTTCAGGCCGAAATACAGGAGAAGAAGATCATGTTATGTATTTGGTGGGACAAAGAAGGAGTTATTTACTGGGAGTTGCTAGAAGGGACAACGATCAAGGTATCCCTAGACGTTGATCAATTAGATCGAGTCGCTTCTGAAGTGTAAGGAGAGGCCAACCATGAGCAAAGTTATTTTGAAACATGATAACATGTTGCAAACTTGATTAAGGAAAAACTGAAGACTTTAGGCTTGGAAGTTCTCCAACATGCGCCTGACTTGGCTCCTAATGATTTGATCTTTTCAAGAATGGCTGTTGATTTGGCCAAAGAGCACTTTGGAGATGCGGAGGAAGTCGAAAAAATAGATCGACTCCTTCAAGCGGCAGCCCCGTAGCTTTTGGGAGAAGAGAATCAACGCTTTGCCCAATAAATGGCAACAAGTTATACTTAATAATAGCGGTTATTTTGGATAAATTAATAATTTATTTTTTGAGAAATTACAGTTCAAACATTTACGAAAGACTAATGCAAAAACCAAATTTGAAAACGGGATATGTCCAAGCAGGATGTTCAAAGAATTGTATTCACATTTTTGCCGGTAAATCGCTATCGGTAAATTGATTACAACATTTAAATTTAGAAAGAAACCCGTGAAATGCTTGGCTGGCTTATTGGTGCCATTGTCGGCGTGTTCCTCGCCATTCCAGCAGCTCCCATTTGTGAACTTTCGAGATGACGAAGACGTTAAGTTTTGGTTTTAATGGACTTATTATAGTAAATCTGGGAAGTTAGTTGCTAATCTTAAATGATAACATCAGTGGATCAGATCTAGATCTTCCGAATTCGTAGTTGTAAGTAGACAACCAGGAGAACTAGCTCTAATCAAACTCTAATCAAGGTTAACAGCTAATAAACAAGCTCTAGCGAACTTTGAGTGTCATTTGAGTACCCAAGCTTTAGAATTTATCATCTGGTTGTTTTATAATAAAAACATTATTTTTTGAAACAAACAAAAACTAAAAACTAGATGTCTTACTGATGCCATAAAACGTCAAATGCAAGAACATGCTCTAATAAGTGGACACTCTAGGGGCAAACTTGAAAAATAAACGGACATATCCTTGTATTAGAAGTTTTACAGTATCTGACTATACTTTCAAAGTGTCCCCCTTGCCTACTCAGCTGAATATCTTCTAGTTTCGTAGAGAATTTCAAACAAAAGTGGCAGCTACGAAAAATCTACGCAGAAAAAGGAGTAGAGCTTCGTAACTCTCATACCTACCCTATTTGTTTGAATTTTTGCACAAAATTAAAAGATATTCAGCTAGAGTTTAGGGGATACTTTGAGAGTATCATTTTTGTATTATTTGTATCATTTTTGTTAAAAAAACGCGATGTCTTGAGCAAATTACCTACTTAGCTACATGCTTGTTTCAAGAAAACAAAAATAGGTGATAGATAAATTTTGTCAAAAACATTCTGATAAGCAAAATACATTAGCTAAATTTTTTTTTGTGAAAGCTTTAGCAAAAGAACTCATTTTGCATTTCATTAACTCAATTCTTTACATTTTTCACGCAAATCAAACGAGATTCAGTCATTTTTCACAAACTTTTCCAAACTTTTCAAAACTTTACAAACTTTTATGCATATTGAAACCATTCTATTCGGGTTTTTACGATACTTTTCCCTGTTATGCAAAGAAATGAATGGCACTGTGAAGGCTGTGAGTGCTGTGAACGCAAATGACAGGCTTATCAGTAAATGGTTGATATCAGTGTTATAAATCCACCCTTTTGGGAATTAGTTTTCCAACTGTGCCTATCCCTATTTTGCGAGAAACTCTTTGGAAAGCATTATGAGAAATAAGAGCTCTAAAAAGAAAACTTCAAAACGCTATTTCCCCTTTCATGTTCAATCATAAAAGCAAATATAAGATTGGGGAAAGTTTTCGGCTTTAAATTTTCTTTCGTGTCTGTAAAAGTGTCATTTCGAGTCAGCATCGATTTTAAATGCTCATTCGATAAACTTTCCTATCTACCTAGCATAGTTGCTTCTAGGAAAAAGCCTGTTGTAGACTTTTTTCTGATTTTTTGAAAGCTATTCAAGGAGCACTCACTTTGTCTCTCTGATCCACAAAGCTCACAAGTCAGGCTGACAGTTGGCTCCACCCAACACTTCTTATCTCTTCTCAAGCTTTCTTTTTATTTTCAGTAGTCAATGCAACGAATGCTCAAGATTTCCTTTTTATTTGCTTACCTCATCGCCACCTATCTATACGTATCGCAAATTTACTGTAATTTACTTGCGAATAACTGTGTTTTCTTTGTTTTCTTGTCTGCCAGAAACGAATTTTCCTTATTTTAAACAAGAAAGGGGAACTTTGGCCCTCTTCACATCCAAAAACATTCAATGATTCACCTCCTGAATAGCTGAAGAATGAAGCAAGCAAGGTTTGTGAAATCAACTTTTTTCTAACAAGAGATGGTCAACTGGGTGTGCCGGCCAAATGACAGACATAAGCCATTCGACACAGAATTTCATGCTGAATCCGAATCTGCTTTCCGTTTTTGCTAAGGAGCACTCTGTCAAAAGTTATAAGCGTGCAAAATTTTGTCTAGGGTTTCAAAAAGACACCCCGAGTTTATAAGCAGATTTCCCAGAGAATTCAAGAAGCCGTGATGGCCGAGTGGCAGTAGCTTAGAATACAAGGCAAATTCTTGCTGGTTTGAGTTCACTGTTCTATTAACATCAAAGAGCTATCATAAAAATTCAAAAAAAGCTTTGACATTGATGACAACAAAGTGAAAAGAGAAAAGCATCATTTGATTACAGCACAAGACATAAAAGCCAAAAACGCACAATTTGTATCACAATATTGTAAGGCAAAACATTTTAATGATAGCTATTTGATGTTAATAGTTAAAAGTAAACATTATGAGAAGTAGTTTAATATAAACTTGAATTTGAAACGGAAAACAATTAACTTTGCAAATCCAAAGAAGTAAAAGAACAAAATAGAACAGCCGACTTAAAGCAGCAAGACTTTGCCCTATATATTCTAAGCTACTGCCACTTGGCCATCACTGCTTCTTGAGTTCTCTGGCAAAGGCTTTCTGGCAGAGGATTCGGAGGACAAGGCGGCGGTGCAGCCGGGGCGTAACTTAGGGTGTTTTGATGGCCTTTTGCACTATCTAAACATAAAATCTCCATCTGGAAAAAGGCATCTAGAGATGTTAAAAACCAAAAGTGTAGATCGAAAGTCTAAAGAAAACAAAAAGAAAACATAATGCCTGCCTTTTGCTTTACTTTCGCACTTACCTTGTAGATGAACTACGCGAGCCTTGCAGCGTCTCCAAAAATTTGTAAACCCATCAAATCACTCTAGCCGGGTGATTTTTATTCTTTTTATAATAAAATCAGCGATATGAAAATAAAAAAACAGGTGGTTGAACAAAAAAAAAAAATTTTTTATGGTCACCCGGCCGCGATTAATACCCCCCTTTAAATAAATTTTAGTGGAAAACGACTTTCTGAAAAAAACCTGAAATTTTGGTTTGTATACTTGTTCCAGAATTTCTTGTACATTCGAAACAATAAGCGCCGCCCTCTAAAAACCGCCACACCTAGAGCTCGATCGAAAAAATAAGCGCCGCATCTTAGAAGATTTACGGTAAGTGTAAAAATGTTATAAAAATCAAACTATAACAAACTTTAAGTAATATGACATATTTTCGACTTAATCTACCTTCATATAAGGTGTAATACATATTATGGGCCACCCTGTATCTATTAGGTTGGTAAAAAAGAAATGAGCGTCGTGTTTGTTGATTTGTATTTTATTCACAGTAAAAGATTTTTTTGACAGTAAAAGACAGTAAAAGACCAGGCGCTGCGACGTCAAGGTGTGGATACGGCGTCGGCAAAATTCCTCCACGACAACTCTCGGTCGCATGTCGCAAAAATCACCCAGCAGAAAATTAAAGAAATGGGCTGGAAAGTCCTGCCTCATCCGCCATACAGCCCAGACTTGGCGCCTTCCGACTACCATCTGTTCCGATCAATGCACCACTCCTTGGCCGAGAAAAAGTTCAAGAACCGCGACGAGGTCCAAATTTGGGTGTCCAACTTCTTCGAGTCGCAACCGGTCGAGTTCTTCAAGAAGGGCATCCATTCTCTGCGTGAACGTTGACGACAAGTCATTGATGCAGATGGCGAATACCTTTTGGATTAATGTATTGTTATCTTGTTTTTATAATAAAATAAACTTTTAACAAAAACGCGCATTTCTTTTTTTACCAACCTGATAGTTATTCAATAAAGTCGTCTAAATCAATCAAAATAGTTTTCATCTTTTTCAATAAATTATGCCCATTTTACTGATAAAAGGCGAATTTCTTTCGCGTAAAAAATATCTCTGTTTTTCAATCAAACTAGTTCTGTGCCCCTTTTTTTCGTATCTTTTCCATCTTGCCATCATTTAACATTTAATTTATTTACCCACAAAAAGAGAAGTACCAAAAAGGAAACCCATTTTTGCACAAAGGATAAAAGAACATTTTTACAAATTTACAAAATAATCAAGATTTAGAAAATAAAAGACTTTAGAGGAAAGGAACCAATCAATGAACAAGTCATTTTTTAGCCTCCGGAATGACATCCACATCCATATCGATGCTGAGAACCACCTCATCGTGTTGTTCGAGAAAATCGGGCACATCAGGAATATCGATGTTCTCTTCAGATTGCTGAGAATCCTAAAAAAACTCTCAAGTAACTTTTATTAAAAAGTGTTGATGCAAGATCAGAAAAGTTATTGACTAACGAGGAAATCGCATCTACTTGCCACCTCGAATCGTCTCCAAAGTTTCTTCAGTGGTAGACCTTGATTAAAACTAGGTTAAAACTAGGGTTTTTAGTAAAATATAGCTGCAAAGAGGCTTTAATTTTATGCAGTAATTTTTGTCGAATATGGTTCATTGCATATTTTGTTGAAAACTTTAGCTATTCTACCACCTCAGAAATTTTGGAGACGATCAAATTAGATGCGGTTCTGGTGTTACAGCTAGTAGTTTGATGATTTAAACAACTCAAAAGCAGTCCCAAAAGGCTGAGATCCTAGTAGACTATTCACTAAGCTGCTTTAATCAAAATCGTAAAAAGATTCAATCCACCAGAAATCACCGTCAATTGTGTGCCAGAAACTCGTGTAAACCTGTCGCAATTCATCGACTTGTCAGACAAACCCTTTGTGGCTTTTGAAAGCACGCTAGCTATTTTTTATAAAATCGTTATAGCGCTAGCAATGACTTGATAGTCAATTCGTGCGCTTTCCAGTCAAGATCCTAAAAAGGACGCTTAATTTCCTCCTGTAATAAACTACTTTTTAAAAAGTTTTTTCGCAAAAATGAGTCACAGAATATTGGCAGAATTGGATTGAAAGAAAAATTGAAAGAATCTCTTTTTTTCTGTGACTGAAAGTTAACTTCGTAAATTTCTATTTCTAAATTATATTTCTAAAAAGGTGTCAAGTGTTTTTCAGGACTCACCTCTTGTGCAGTCATAAAGATGGGCACTTGTGGACGCCAGCTGCTGAGAAAGGCTTGTGGTTCGTTGGAGTAGGACTAAGGTTGAATATGGTGCATGTAAACAGGATATTAGATAGATGCTTAAGTGTTAGGACTAGCGAAACACTAGAAAAAAAGCACCGACTTGTTCGAAAGCTTCCATAGCCGTGGCCGCAGCCTCGGCCGGAGGCTCAGCCGCAGCATCGTTCAGCGGGTTTTCCATTTCCAGATCCTAAAAAATGTTATTCTAGAAAAATGCTTTCAGGCTCACCCTAACCATATCAAAAGAGGAATCCGAATCAGACATGGCTAAACGGAATATGAATTTGAATAAGTAAAATCTAAATAATAAGTATTTGCATAAGTAAAATCTAAATAATAAGTATTTGAATAAGTAAAATATAAAAATAGAGGTATTATGGCATAAATCCTATAGAAAGACACAAATATTATCAAAAGATTTATCAAAAGAACAACATAGACAACAAATAAAGCTCTGTAAAAAATATCACAGCTAAAAGTTTTCACTCGAGATCACTTTTCAGAGGTCTAGATAGAGATCGTCTAGACCCAATCTAGGGGAGTTGTAGGCGCTCTCGGGTGGCTCTACGTCTTTTGACTCGTTCACGATTTCGATTCCATTACCCTAAAATACTTAACTTATTGATTTACCAACGAATGGACGAAAAATCATCTCCATTTATTTAGAAACTCCAATTTTTAAGAGAAACCCCACAGTATCTTATATGATTCTTGTTTAGGTTAAAAATTATTGCCTAGTTTCACTTGAGGTGTGCTCAACACTAAACAAGAGATAAGCATTAGATCTTTTCTCGTTTACTTTTCCCAAATTAGTCATTTATTTTGAAAAAACATCGAAATTCTTTCTAAATTCCTAAAGCAACTGTTCCGCCCATAAAACAATTGCTAAATGTATCAAGAGAACACAAAAAGAGTAATGGTGAGATGGAGATGGGTAACAAAATTGATGGCCTACCCTCCCACATTACAATCTGCACATTTTAGAGGAGACTTTGATTTCAAAGCTTCTCGACTTTCAATGAACTTTTTCCTTTTAGTTGCTTAAAGCAACTAGAAGTAAATTTCATCAAATTTTAAGGCATAAATTGACTATTATTTCACTTGAATCTCTCTTCCTACTTGTGAACCTTTTGTCAGCCTGTTTTCAGATCCGAATCGAAAGTAACCGCCAAAATATCCATAAACATCTAATTTTCTATAAATTTGTGAGCTCACTTGTTCAGGAAGTCGACGGATGACTGCTTGCCATCGCAATGGGGCATCGGGCGCCAACTCTGGCCAGCCTCGTTCGTGAGCGGACTCCGCAAACACGGTGGGTGGCTGAAGTTGTGAGCCGGATCATATATTCATTTTTAGATTAACAGATCGATCAAATATAGCTCACCGTGCTCAGTGTCTCAGTCAGACACCCGTCCAGAAGTTTTGCGTAGAGGTTCAGCACGTAGAGGTGCAGCTCTTGCTAAGGTTGCTAGAAGATTGTGGTAAGCATGACGCCGAGCTATTGGGTTGGCCAATAAGTAATGGGTCACTTCAAAGAAAGGAAATTTTTCTGTAAATTTTTAGTTAGCCCCCAGTGTTTATCACTAAAAGAGACAATAGACTTTCCTTATTTCAAAACACTTTCGTAGATTGAGAATGCTTTCTTATTTCTTTATTAACTACTTTTTTCGATTAGTGCAAATTTGCCATATGGGTTGATTCAGCATGTTATGCTAAATGATATGCCCATTTAGCATCCTGTATTTGGGCTCGCTAAATGTTTATCTTCAAGTCTAGCTCTAGAGCACATAAGAGAAGTATACGGCCATGAATCCCTCTCTACGACTACATGTCATCGATGGTTTCACAAGTCTGGCGACAAATCTTTCATCGAAAGCTCCGGGAGATCGGTTGAGGTTGTTATTGGATACTGGAAGTGCTGGAAGTTATTGGATAGCAAGCAAACACTTAACTCTCAACTAACAACTAATCAATTGCAGAATCTGGCTAAAGCTCTTGAGACAAAAAGACCAAATCTGGAAAAAAAGCCATATTTCAACATGACAATGCTCGCCTACACACTGCTAAACTGATTTGCTCTACAAGCAAGAACTTGAACTGGGAACTTCTCCCCACTCAGCATATTCTCCAGATCTAAATCTATCAGATTGCCATTTATTTCAATCAATTGAAAACACTCTAGCCGGAGAGTAAGATGGAAAAGAGACGAAAAAATGGGTACAGAACTAGTTTGATTGAAAATCAAAGATATTTTTTCACGCGAAAGAAATTCGCCTTTTACCAGTAAAATGGGCATATTTTATTGAAAAAGATGAAAACTATTTTGATTGATTTAGATGGCTTTATTGAATAAATGTTTCTTTTTAAAATTTACTTATTACTTATCGGCCAACCCAAGATATTTGTCTTATTAAAGTGTTTTTTATATACCTTTTTTGCTAGACTTCGCTTAATGAGAATTTTAAACGCTTTGGCGAAAGATCAAACAAAATTTGGTGACTATTTAATTTAAATTTTCAGTAACCTCAGCAATGGCGTTCTCTGGGCGTCTAGTCGATTCGAGGCTGTACGCAGAGAGCGGTGATTCACGTTTCGTCGACTGGCAGCTGAAATTAATGCTATTTATATGAAGGTACTATTTAATTTAAATTTTCATTTAATATGAAGGTATTTTATATGGCATAGCTAAAGAAGTTTCATGCCCAATCATGCTCAATAAACAATTCAATGAAACGTTTGCTGAAGTTTTTACTGTCCTGTGTTCTACTGTACTGTGCTCTACTGTACTGTGCTCTACTGTACTGTGCTCTACTGTACTGTGCTCTACTGTACTGTGCTCTACTGTACTGTCCTCTACTGTACTGTGCTCTACTGTGTTCTATAATTGATTCATTGATTTATTATTGATTCATTCATCATTGATTTAGCCACCAGAGTAAGTTAATCGTTAGAAAACAAAGAATATTTGAGGAACTGCTGTTTTTGCTCACAAAAAAGCAGTTCCAAGAGGAATTGTTGAATTGGCTTTTTGAATTGGCTTGAAAGATTTGAAACTCTTAAAGGGTCTTAAGGTTTGAGATTTCAAAGGTTTGCAACTTTTAAAAGCTTCTTCTGCTCGAGAAAAGCTCATAAATTCTCTCAAATTCGTTATATCAAGTTTAGTTTGATTGAAGGACCTTTTGAACTCACCAGAACGCCTTTTTCAACAAGTCAAGCATTGTGCGATTTCCCTTTCTTCTTTTGACTTCTGCGAGTTGCTCCAGGTTTTGAAAAACGTTCTGAAAAATAGCTAATGAAGTTTTCAGGAGGTATATGGAAATAAAATCCAATGAAAAGAAAGGTAATTCAATAAGGACAATCTACTGTGTTTTGAATGATAGAAGAGGAAGAAGTAACGAAGAAAAAGGTTGGTCAGCATCAAATTAATGGAGATTATTTTCGAGAAAAATCTCGCGTTTCATGTTTTTTTTCTGACTAGTATTGGTGGGGAAAAGTGGTAGGATGGGAGGGAGGGGTCAATCAAATCAATAGATCTCTCAAGTCTCTCAAAATATTGTTGGAACGGTTCTAGCCCAGCTTTTCAAATGACATTCAAGAGGAAGATTTTCCCCTCCATTTGAGGACTAAAAACAGTCATCACCTCTGTTTCCTACCCTTCTTGAAAGGCTCCCTTTTCCATCTTAAGTCTGATTCATAATCAAAACACAGAACTTCTTGAAACAATCTGAGATTGACAATTTCAGACTTGACCCTATTGTTTTACTCTAAGATTTACTCGCTAATAGAATAGAGAACGGTTTTGTGCAGTGTCCTTTTTTCTGACGACACACAAGCTCTACAGAAAGTGCAGAGAAAATAGAGGAAAGGCTGGAAAAAGATAGAAATTGAAAGAAAGAAGAAAGAAAGAAAGAAAGATACGAATTAAAACGAAAAGAAAAGAGAGAGGCTGAGTCATTTTTTTAATGACGTAAAAACTTCCAGTGTGGCTAAGTATGGAAAACTAAGAAGTAGATAGCACTAAACAAAGATAATGGCAGTGATTGAAAGCATGAGAAATCATAATAAGCATAAATTGAGTAGAAGCAGAAGCACTTGCTTGTTAGAAAAAAAAAGTATTCATGTAAATGGTCAGCTACCCAAGGGACAGCTCAGAGTAAACAAAACAAATGAACAGCCGACTGTAGTCGCGCATTTCGAAAGGCCACACCCCCTTTTTGCGTCGACCAATCATCATCCATCATTCCTCGATTTTTTGCTTTAAAATTATTGAAAAATCAGCTTTATCTTTCAAAAAGCTATTTGCTTTCATTGGGAATCTGCGGGAGTTTCTTATCGCTCGTTTTTTTTATTAATGAGGCGTTCAACAACCGAAAAATGTTCAGCGCTGGAGCGCGTTTTAGAATCGCTGTTTTGTGTCGGCAATGACAATATAAAATCCCCCGAGCAAGTAAAGACGGAATCACAATCAATACCCCTTTCGTTTACCTTGTTTCGTTTAAAAAGAAAGATCTGCTTTGGAAAAAAAACACTAGGCCACTTGCATTACGCATAAACATTACTTCATAAAAAGGTGTGGCTGTTGAACAATGGATCGAAAGTTCATAGTTCGTAGAATCAATTGAATCAATTGAATCAATTGAATCAATTGAATGAATCAAAATCAAATCAAAATCAATCGCTTGAATGGGAGTGAGAGGGGATCGGACAAGGATAAATCAGAAAACAAAACAATGTGAAACCAATTCTCAGCAGACATCAGGGGACAATTCTGTTCATCACTCTTTCAGAGGGTCCATTCAAAAAAATGAGGACTGTGAGGGGATTGATTCCTCTAAAGTCGATGCCTAATGGCTGGATCGAGCCCCCAAAGGGGTTGGGTCTTGCTTCTCTCTCTCCTTTTTGTCCTTCTCCATTTCTCCGCTCATTTTCCGTCTTCTTTCTCCGCCATTTCCCCTAAAAACACAGGCAAACCCGCGGCTTTCATAAAGCTTTCATAAGTATAAATTGAATAAAAGCAGAAGCATTTGTTTGTTAGAAAAAAGAAAATTCATTCACAAAAACTCTTCACCCCTTCCTTTTCCCCTAAAAATGACTGGCCTAAAAATTTTCTTTTCCCAGGAAACCTCTCTTTATTTGTTTCAAAAAAAGACACTGATAATTTGAGAGAAGGCACAGAAAAGTGGGAAAAAAAGAAAAAGAACTCGTAAACAACTTTTTCTTTGGATTGGAATTGGTTAACAGTGATGAAATAATAGTGAGGCACCGCTTCCCGAGAAGAAAAAGATCTAGTTTTTGAAAAACTAAGTGTTTGATACTTAATGCTTGGGGTTTTTATCAGCAAAAAATGAATGTAATGCCAAAAACTTTTCAACTACATCAGAAGATAGACGTGTTCAATAGACTTGCTTATTAATATCATCGATAAAAACAGCAAGCTCATGTTTAATCGTTCAGATCTCTGTTTCTAGGATAGTTATCAATCTGAAAATTGTTTCATTGGAAAGAAAAGAATGTCAGCTATTGATTGCTATTTCACACTTAGCAAATTCTCATAGATGAGTGCCTTAAAAAGCTAAACAATACTTATCGATCCTCAAATATCGATATGCTTATCGATAAACGATACTTTCGATATCGATAGGTTTATGAGGTGCTTTCTCATTAAAAGTCGCTATGTATAAAGTAGCAATGAAAAGCTGACATTCTTTTCTTTCCAATGAAACAATTTGCAGATTGATAGCTGTTCTAGAAACAGAGATCTGAACGGTCGAACATGAGCTTGCTGTTTTTATCGATGATATCGATAAGCAACTCTAGTGTTGATCACAATTTGAGGGGAAGCTCGTTCAAAAAACGATTGTTCCTCGGATCAATTGTTAAAGCAGAAAGAAATCTATTTCTCTAGTTTTGTGCAAGATTTCTTTTCGATTTGACACTAAATCACTAATCAGCTATCAAAAAGGTTTCTATGCTAATTTTTTTAAAACCACGCTCCATGTCGTTTCTTCTAGCTTCATTTAAAACATTTGCCCAACAAGTTTTAACTAAAGGTTTACTTCTATAGTTCTATAAGTTCTCTTTCTAAACCTTTCATTTCAAATCTTCCCTTCTAAAACTAAAATTAAGGAAAGCGATGAATGCCTCCAAAAATCACCGTATCCCATTTTGTCTTTCAGTCATTTTTCATTCGAACTCTCTCGTCGGCAATTTTTGTGACTGTGGGGCAAATCGATAGTGAATGGGATAGCCTGTGCGGGATGGGTTCTCTTCTTCTCTCCCGCCTTCCCTTTTCCTGCCCCTAAGCCCTTTCTTGCAGAAAAACGAAAGACAAACAAGTGAGGGAGAAAAATCAACTTGAAGATTGAAACACTGTAGTTGAGGATTTATTTGGATTCCAGGGCAAAGGCAGAGAAATCCTCAATAAATTTGGCTTCAAATTTGACCGGGAAATCCTCAATTTGAATCAACTATATGCTTGAATGTGTTGAAAGCCAAATTTCTGTCTGAATTTTTCCTGTAACAATAATATGGGATAATTTCTTTAAAAAAGATCTTTCGTTAAAAGTCAACGTCCAAAATTCCGCGTTTCATGCGTCTTTAATAGTCTAGTTCTCCCTCTTTCGCTTTTCAAATTATGCATTTTCACTCTTTCAAATTTCCGATAGTTCTCGCTGTTGTACGATAAAACCTCAATGAACTAACGAAAAATTTTTAACTACAACTAACTAATTTAGTGTTATTTGAGCCTTGTTAGTGCCTCATTTCAGAATTCTTTCATACCTCCATAGTTCACAAAGGAGGATCACTTCTCTCGTTGTTTCGTTGCAGGTTCATCTTTCTCTTTCTCTCATTGTTTCTTTCTTTCTTTTGACAGTAGACTTGTGGCCGAGTTTGGCAAGGCATTCACTCGCTAGTTTCGCGAATGTGAAATCACATCGGTTCAAATCCGATCGAGTCAATCAATGCTGTCAAATGATCCTTTAACTTTTCCTTCGTATTCCTTGTTTTCTTTATTAACTACTGCTTTCATTTCTTTCATTTCTTTCATTTTCTTTATCTTTTAATGTCAACATTTATCAATTCATCAAAGTTTTGTAATGAAACATCATCCGCTTCAAAAGGCTCAGCTTTTTTTTTTATTTTGAGATACAAAGATCGTCTATATAAATCATTAACAGAAAGAAGCAATAAAGAAATCTTTTATTTGAAATTTTGAAATAAGTAATTTGAAAGAAAATACTACTCTTAAGTGAATAAAAACTCTTTTCAAAATCAGAACCAAAATTAGAATCAGCTTTTTGTCGCTATCTACGAAGAACTCCTCAATCTTTTGTTTCACGATCCAGCGGTAATCGAGTTGAGTTGTGAGTGAGAGGCCGGATGGGGTCTAGTTTGAAGGCCTTCTGCTGCAAAGAACTTCTCGAAATTCAACCTCTATAAACTAGACGTTAACTTGAACTGAGCCCTATTGGAATTCTGATCAGCCACAGAAAGTTAAGAACAAAGCTAAACCATCACACAGAGTATTTATCTGCTATTTCTAGTATCATTTCCCCTTTCAGATCATCAACAACAACAACAACAACTTCAGATCAACACAGCAACTTTTCCTTGTTCGACAATGTTCTCGTGATCTCTCAACTATAAAACCTCGTTTGCATAAAAAAAACCGAGTTGATAGTTAAGGATTTGGGTTTTTAGTTCAGGAAAGGTTGAAATTGATAGTGAATATTTTGATAATAAATATTTTATAAATTTATTGTTATTTGTAGACTATTGAAGTGAAATTTTAAAAAAAACCGTTTACTAATATTTAGAGATTCGTTCTCTATCACAAAGAAACTTTTTAAGAAAGTTGAAAAACGGCCAGCAAGAATGATTGAGAATGATATGATATTGTGAGCTCTTGATATACCGTAAACTGTAATAGTACCCCACGCCCATAATGACGGTGCGGAGTGTTGCGTAGTCTAGCTTTGAACGAGTTTTTCTCGACACTCGTTTATGCTACAATGCGCGCTTAGGTATCAAAAAATAGCCCTGAATTTCAGCTATTTTTTCATACCAAAGACGCTTTTTTTGAAAGTATGGGCGCTTTGAAAAAAATGAAATACTAAAAAACATTTGCGACTACGCGACTGTACAAGGGGGTGGGGTACTATTACAGTATTTACGGTAGGATATTTTAAAGAATTCTATTCAATGCCCTGAAGGCCTA